TAGTTTCAGCACAGGCAAAAAAAAAAAAGTAACCTGGATAACACAAATTGACAGAAAGTTTCAGTCTCATTCTCTTATAAAAGCTGGAATATTTCAACTTCTTTAAAATCCCTCCAAAAATATGACCTCAAGATTTATCTCAAGGCAAAATCCTAAAGCACAAAACGTACAATTGAAGAAAAAAATACTGGAATATTTTATTAACATCTTGGTATAACTCTACAAACAACAAATTCAATTCACTAATTCAGCACTTACAGAATGGTGATTACACACAAACACCTGTGTAAAATATAGCAGTAATTACAATATATACTCAGTCTTTAAGGAGCTTACAATCTAACAGAAGAATGGAATATGAACACAAATTGCTATAAGCCCTTCCCAACATAATTCATCCGAATTGCAGAAAACAGAAAATGACTTGACCACTATTTTGTCCATTTTTTCAAGGATGGTACATAATCAAAACAATTCAGATACATATGATGAATGTTCTAGGGTGTAGTGGGAAGAAAGAACCACAAGGCAGAGTACAAGACACATGTTATGCTCAAATTTTATATCCTTTATAGTGGATCACCGGGCGTTATCAAATATTTTTAAACACAGAAACAACATAATCAAACATGTAAAATGCTATTCTAACAATAGTACAGATGAAGGAAGATAAATGAAAACAAGAAAACCAACTATAAGATACAGAATTAATCACAACCACAGATGTAAAAATGTCCTGAACCACAATAGGATCAGTAAGGAAGAAAAGGTGAAGGAATAGGATTTAATAAACGACAAGGCCAAAGTCAGAAATAGTTGTCTACAGGGCTTGCATCCAGTGTAATTGGGAAGAAATTAAATAGTGGTAGAAACAACAGTAGTTATCCATCATAAAGAAGCATGGCTTCAATTTTTTTAAAAAATAACAAAATGCTTTTTCTGTTCTTTTAATTATGTTAGATTTGTTTTAGAATGATTTTTGTTGGTTACTAAAAATCATAATTAAAAGAACCATGTTTTAAAGTATTTATATCCCTGTATCACTTCTTCAAGATAAAAATACTAATGAAACCAGAAAAAAAAAAATCTAAACAACCCGATGTCTTAAAGAATCCTACCATTTAAATATCATAACAGTTTTATTAATTATGATGCCACCAATTCCTAACAACAGACTACTTTATTCACAAAATAGTCTTTAGCCAAGATATTTTTATTGGTATAATTATATGTAATAGTGGGATTCATTATGTCATATTCACACATGCACATAATTTGATCAATCTCATTTCGCTAACCAAGGATTTGAGAAATTTCCCTAAGAAAGTAACAACAAATTTGGTCATTGTGGTAAAACATTTAAAGAATTTGGAAGAAGAATACTCCAATAATCCATGGCAAAAATATTAAAATCTTTTCTCAAATAGTCTTGAAATTACACTGGATATACATGAATGTGGGGTAAAATTCATAAAGACACCTTAATACCATACATTCAGTATTCCTCTCCTACCTACCTCTTAACCCTTCAAAATAGTCATTTTGGGGACTATTTTTCCAACAGGGTTTGAACTTTGAACCCAAGGACACTTAACCACTGAGCCACATCCTCAACCCTTTTTTGTATTTTATTTAGAGACAGAGTCTTGCTGAGTTGCTTTGGCCCTCACTAAATTGCTGAGGCTGGCTTTGAACTCATAATCCTCCTGCCTCAGCCTCCTGAGCCACTGGGATTATAGGCCTCTGCTACCAAGCCCAATGCTAAAACAATTTTTTATTTTTTTTAATATTTTTTAATTATAGGTAGACACAATATATTGTATTTTTATGTGGTGCTGAGGATCAAACCCAGTGCCTCACGCATGAGAGGCAAGCACTCTCCTGTGAGCCACAATCCCAGGCCCTAAAACAATTTTTTAATTGGAAAACACATTTCTCTCTCTCTCTCTCTCTCTCTCTCTTCTCTTCTCTCTCTCTCTCTCTCTCTCTCTCTCTCTCTCTCTCTCTCTCTTTCTCTTCTCTCTCTCTCTCTCTCTCTCTCTGGGGGGGGGGGGGGGTGCTTGAGATAATGTTAATGTGAGATAATGTTACTGCTTGTTTTGGTACTTAGACAAACTATTCAATATCCAAAAGTAGAAAAATAATTTATCCTATACAATGATTCTGAGATGGCAGGAGATGTTGAATTATGTGAAATACCAGAAGCATCTGCTTTCTAAAGACAGGCAGAACTGAATCAGCAATAGAAACAAAGCTTCAGTATCAGAGGGTTCTTGGTTCACATTCCAACTCTAACACTTGTGAGTTTTGCTGTCTCAATTTCTCTATCTATAAAATTGGAACTTACACTACATATTTGGTCCTGTGAAGTAAGATTAAATAAGTGCTTTCCATATCTGGCTGGTCACAAGATTCACCTGGGAAACTTACTGAAAAAATAATTTCACAGACCACATTCCATATTTTCCAGGGTATCATCCAGGAAATTATATTTTCTAACAAATCCCAAATATAATCCTTATACACTAGTATTGCAATCTGGAAATTATTGAAAAACTTTTTCTTTAAATGCTTTTTATATTATAATTTATGTATTTATGTATAATAATAATGGCACCCCAGAACACACATTTACATCTTATGTAAATCAAATTATCATTAATTATTTTTAAATAAAAGGTAAGCCTTTTGTCACAGGATGGCTACTGAACACTCTTACAGAACTACAGTTTGCATAAACCATACTGTTTCAGAGACAGTGAGAGGTGATGAAAGCAAAATTCCACATCAATGGCAATGCCCCTTTTCCACGGTTTATGCAGCAAGAAAGCATAAAGTCAGGCTCATCTTGCATTTTTCTTCAGGTTACTATATCACTAAATCTGTATTTCTAATTTTTTTCTGCAATTCATATAAATTTATAACAGCAATGCAAGTACTAAATAAATGTGTATGATAACATTAGTAATTGCAACAAATATCTAAAGGGTTCACAGACAGATATTCTTATATGATCCAGGTTCTTATGGTATCTTCCTTTTTTGGTGGTGGGGGGAGATATTGGGTTTGAATCCCGGAGCACACAACCACTAAGCCACATCCCCAACCCTCTGTATTTTATTTAGAGACAGGGTCTCATTGAGTTGCTGAGCACCTTGCTTTTGCTGAAGCTGGCGTTGAGATCTTAATTCTCCTGCTTCAGCCTCCTGAGCTGCTGGGGTTATGGGCTTGTTCCACCATGCCCCATGCATTGTTCCTTTTAAAAAAAGGAACTCTTGAATTAATTAGTATTTCTAAATAAAGTGATCTGATATAGATTAACAAGTCCTTTATAAAAAAAAGTCTTAACTACAACTTTATATCTATACTGGATATAAACTAATATAGGATTATATTATCTTTTTAAAATTCTTTCTATAAAAACCTTAACAAATTTATTTAAATGTGGGTTCTAGTTTATTTATATCACATCACAAATCTATGGTAAATTCAGAAAACTACTATAATATTGAATACTCTTCTAAATTTAGGTACTAAAACAAAAGTTTAAAGTTTCTACTGACAAAGGCAAAGTGCACCCTATGGTTATCTGGAGTAAATTATATACATTAGGTACTAAAATTTTTTACTTTAAAACACTTTTTACAAATGATTTTTAATAAATCCAAATGTAGCCACTACTGTTTAAAAGTTAAAATGTTTCAGTTATTTACATACATAAAATATTGTTTATGTTTTATTACATAATATTACATAAAATATTGTTTATCCAATTTATTGAACAATGTATTTTATTTTACCTTTGGGTTTACTTCTCCATATACATATCTTCCAAAGGTTATGGAGATCAATGATCTAATACTAACAGATTGCTGCAAGTACTAAGAAAGAAGTGTGTTACGTAAATAAAGCTTAAAGGGAAGAAGTTGTTATGGTCATTAAATTATAGGACTTTACCATTTTCTTCTATCAAGTTTTAACCATTAATCCTACTGGTATTACAAAAACAAAGTTAAACCAAGAGATCCAGAAGGCCATAGTAATCTGATCTTAAGAGTTAAAAGAAACTCAATAAAAACTAGAATTTAGAGAGATGTCTCAAGCAAGTATAACCAAAAGTTTTCAGCTTTCCTGGGCCTGTAGAACATTAAATTACCTCCATAAAAAGTTCTTGTAAGGCACTAGACCAGTGTCAATTGTCCTACATGTTAGAGAATGAGGAAAATGTAATGCATTTAATCTGATTACCAATCACATCTCTATTTCAAGAAATATTTAGGGTAAGGTGAGTAAGAAACAAGAGCGTTAAAAAAAAAAAAAAAGTTTTTAGTCTTCAAAAGATACTTTGTATGTTGGGAAAAAAATTTTTTTTGAACTACCAGTAACACATGAACACATGATGAGAAATGTTGCTCTTCTGCTCCTCCCCTCCCCCTAAAACACTTTTTATGGAGATATGTTCCTAAATTATGATACTTGTTTTTCATACTTTCTTGGTTATCTTCCTGGGTCCATCCTAATGTTTGGACAGTAGTATTGAAAAAGGCCCAGAGATTTAAGAATAGAGAAGAGGTTGGAAAAGAAAAAAAGGGTTATGATGACACTTCTTCTCTACCATTAATTAATCCTCAAGAAGAAAGTAGGGTGTACCTCCTACTTACACATATTAGAATGAAAGCAAAATTCTTGCAAATAATTAATGAACATTTGAAAATCAAAATTAATATTTGAAAATCAAATTTTAAAAAATGTTATTCATACACATTAATTATACAGAGAAAATAGGAATAGGAATACCCCCCATTCTACTCTACCTCAACTTTTGAGAAAAGTTTAGAACATAGCAAATTAATGTTTGTAAAATAAGCTGTAGTTCTCATGACAATAAACATTCAAAAATTAACTCAAAAAGAAAATAATTTGTTATTTAGTTTTACCACAGTAATATTTCTTTAAAATATAAAATTTTAAGTAGTACAAAGTATGGCGCAATAACTTACTTGAGTTGGAACAAGTACAGGAGGGTAGGCCATCTTGTGATGCCTGTATACCCAAAATGCACATATGACAATCCCTGCAATTAACATAAGTGGCACCAAGGAATAGAGCAGAATGTTGTAATAGGGTGGCTTAGGTGCAACTGGATTTGAAGTGGCTGTAGAAAGGGGAAGGAAAAAACAACTCAGATTTGGTCTATAAAATTCTACAATATTTATCATAGTGTCAAATATTTGAAAAAAATAGAATATGAGGAAATAGAAGTATCCTATCAACACAAATATTCTTTGTTTTCAGTCTACATGCTAAACAATCTTATGTATTTTCCCTATGAACTTACGCTGTGTGACTTCCATCTCCGGAAAATAAGAAAATTTTTCATTACACATATTGCCCTCACAGCAACAAAAGTAGACTTCAGGACTGTCTTTTTTTTCTATACAATCAGTCCTACAAACAGAAGAGAAATAATCAAAATCAATATTCTAAGAGATAAATAATAAATGAGTCACTTATACTCAACTTCAAGATTTTTATTAATGTTTGAGAATCACATTTTTAAAAAAAATTTTTATTGGTACACATTTATTATACAGACTAATGATCATTTCCTAAAAGCCAAAAGTATCCTAGACTGCTATTACTAAATCTCATCAGGAAACAGACAAAAACAGCTGAATTTATGACATTCACATGAATTCCTTGAGACCAGTGCTTTAATACAGTTTTTAATAAATAATCTATGCCAAGCATCTTTTTTCTTTCTTTTGTTAATTATTAGAAAAGCTTGAAGAACAACATAAGTCAATGAGAAAATTCAGGCTAGCAGTGCTTTTGCTCACTGGAAATATAGCTTTCCCATTTTTATGAATATTAAAAACTAAAAACTTCATATAAATCTGTGTATGTATGTGTATAATAAGGAATAATAATAAGTATACACACATACATATAACTATTTATACAAGCTCATATCTCATGTATAAGCATATTTCAAAATCAGAAATCCAAACTAGCTTTGGGAATTAATATTGTCATTTTTAATAGTAATAGATTTGTTTTCTGAACACAATGAGCAAGACTGGGTTAAGCATCAAGTAATGAACAAATATACAATAACAAACATATAGGACCTAGTAACTCAAATTGCTAAGAATTAAATGGAATTAAGAAGAAAAGGGGGAGGCAGTCAATGGGACCTAAGTCACTGAAAAGACGTGGATTTATCCTCTAGAACAACCCCTAATCAACTACCAAGAAATAGCTATATATATTTAAGTAAAAAAGAATCACCCTTTTAAATAAACTGAATCTTTGTGATCGCTGTAAGAAAAATAAAGTTAAATTTAACTATTAAGGGAAAAGTTCCAGAAATTTCAAGAAGACAGTTTTAACAAAATCAAATTTTAAATTATAATCTATACTAACACTATTTAGTATAAAGTAAAGAGATAAATCTAAGTTTTAACAATGTATAAGAAGAAATGTACAAGTTTAAAAATTAATATTCAGATTCACACCTCAAGTTATAGGAGATTAACATGATTAAACACCTAGCTGAATTAGTTCAAGAAAATTACTTTTCGCCATCCAATTTCATTTTTCTTTATTTTCTTCCACATTTGGACACTGCTTGAATCTTTCTTCTTTTCTCTTACTTCTTTTACCATCCTTACTAAATTTTTTTCAATCAGATTTAGAGCATTAAAAAAACTCACATACTTCTCTATTAGCATTTAATCTCCCCAAACAAAGCTAGTGTAGTAATTATCACTCTAAGAGAGCATGTATTTGCACTGAATAATGAAGCACTCCACAGACTTTCAGTGAATGGCTCACAACTCATTTCAACATTGAGTCTCACATGTTGAAATGCTGGTTTTATGTAGGAAACAGTTTTTACTCTCCACCTCCCCCCAAAAAGAAATCTCTGATCTAAACTAATTAAAAGAAAGTTTCCCAAATCCCTCCTATTTACCTTTCATAATAGGTCTTATCACTTGACTACTTTTGGTAGCAGACAGACTAATAATCAGAAATACTGCTAAAACCTGTTAAGTGTAAAAAAATAATCCTTGGAAAATTCAGACTTACAAGGATACCCTAATCACTAAAAATATACCAAAATAACTGCACTTTAATTTGTCATGAAATGTGAAACTAGTCCAATTTTCAGGGTTTATTCAATGTATGTTGTTATTAGTCACATATGACTAGCTGATTAGAGATCACAGGTAATCAATTGATGCTCCTGAAAGTAGCTATCAGGTTCAGTATAAATGGCATCATTTACTTTCTGCTGTAATGGAAATTCTGTGGCTCAGTATCTACCCAACTTCTTAGAGAAATATCAAAGGCAGTCAATAACATGACCACTATATTTTACTTCCAGTGCTGAACAATTTATAAAAGATCTTTTAAATAAAATGTAGCTTCCTAAGAGAACTATGTTAATTCTGCTGTAATTCTGAATGTCAACTTAAAATGTCTCTTGGGGTAAAGAACAAAGGCCTATGTAGCAAGAAAAAAGTAGGGTGGGATGTAATAAGATCAATTTCTTCCAAATACATAAAGAAGAAAACTGAAAGGAAATTAAATACTACAATTAAGGTTTAGTCTCCTTGAGGATATTTTTCAACAGATATACTCTTATAAAGCAATTTTAAAAGTCCTTTTTCCTTAAAATTGGCATAAAAGTTCATAATTCTGACGTGGGCAATGAAATGATTTTTCCTTAAGAGGTCTCATTACTGGATAGAATATTCAAAATATATCAAGAATAAAACGTCATAAAGATACCATGTTTATTACTTTAAAATACATATCTTGTCATTAGAGCATATTATAATGGTCTTCAAAATTCCATATTTAAAAAGCAAGAAAAATTCATGTGACAATCTATACACTGATCTTATTTCAAAGGGGGGAACAGGTGCAGGAAAATTACTCAACACTTTCAAAGAAAATAAAGTATGTTCTCACCTGTCATAGCAGTTGATATCATCCAGCCAACAACCTTGTTTCACTATTTCAATGGAACCAGAAATATTCTTCCAGGTAGCAAAACAATGTCGCCGTTTATCTTTGTCACCATAACAGGGTTCAACACCAGTTTGATTGGTTCTGTCTCTTTCCCAATTAGCATTAAAGAAAAGACACTCCTGAGTTTCTGATCTACCAAGTATAGCACCTATAAGATAATAAAACAACAACTTAGTATAACATCTTATATTATCATTATAAAAGAAGAGTTTGTCTCCCGAGATAGCAACTTCAGGTATTCCTAAAATGTCAACAATTTACTGTCTTCCCAGTATTATAATTTTAGATTTATGTTTCCAGGTTAATCCCTGGACTTTAAGTATAAAAATAACCACAATAATCTCAGACATCACAAAATTTCTCTGGACAACACCAGTTTCATTTCATTTAAGAATATCCTTGATGAAAAGCAGCAGATACTATTAATTGTATTAATTTTCAAACACTGAATAGACTTCTTTTCAATACCTGTGACAAAATAGGAACTAGGCAAACGCAATTCTGCTGCACAGCAAAGCATAATGGTTGCCTCAAGAAAAAGCCCTTGTATGACTATACAATATACAAATTCATACTTGGGTATCTGGCAGATAAGTTCTTAAAAGTAAACCAAGTAAAACTGTTACCTCAAGAAAAAAAAAATGGACAGGGTCTCTCACGTGCGAGGCGAGCGCTCTACCACTGAGCTACACCCCCAGCCCCCAAAGGTCTCCTTTAAAGAGTGAATAATGAAATGCACTAATCTCTAGAAGGTCTATATAGTTGAGAATATTTTCTAAATGAATTATGGGTACTGTTACAAAAGCATTTATAAGTAAATCCAATGTGTAAGACAAATCAAGGGATGGAAAGTTCATCAGTGATACCAAACCAACTAACTTTAAAGAAACTATGTTTAATCTTAGCTGGGAAAGCAAGTAACTAAAATACTCAAAATAATTTGTGAGGGGAGTACAAAGGTGAACTCATACTTTTTTTACTTTAAGGGTCACTATACTTATAGAATTGTGTATCTAGGGGCTGAGGCTGTGGGGCTCAGTGGTAAAGCACTTGCCTAGCATGTGTGAGGCACAGGATTCGATTCTCAACACCACATATAAATAAACAAATAAAAAAGGTCCATACATTTAAAAACAACAACAAAAAAGAACTGTATATCTAAAACAATATATTTTATTCTATCATAAATTACATTTAAATAAAGCTAATTTGAAAACAAAATTGAAAAGAAACTACCTGAGTTTGGTATGGAATCAAAGAAAAGCATCCACAAATAGCTAATACATTATTAAAATATTACTCCTTTCCCTAACTATATATCTGTGTATGGCCAGATTTCCTTCATATACTTCATTCAAAATAAAATATCACAACAAACTTAACAAAGAGAAGAGTTCAGTTGTCTTCTACTAAAACAATCATGAAAAAAATATCTTGCTACTTTCTCTTTGTTTTGGAATATATTTTCATAAAGATCTGTTCTTTTACTAACAGAACAGACTTATTACTATTTTTAAACAAATTAATATTTTTAAGTTTTCTGTCTTCATTTCAAATATGATTAATATTAACAGATACAACCCACATTTTTAAAAAGTTCTTTGAGGTTTCTGAGAGCCTAAAGAAGTCCTAAGAAGAGCTGCTCTACAAATGTACTATCACAGAGATATAATTATAAGCCACTAGTATCTATGAGTAGTAATTGCGCCATGGACTTTTCCCTCAAGTATGGAAAAAATAATAGCATAAACTGACAGCACACTATGCTGGTAACTGTCAGCTGCAGTGTATAACAGAAGGACTGATACTACTACTTACCTTGTACACAGCCATTTTCTAAGTTATTCCTTTTCAGAAACTTGTTCAAAATATGAGCAAACTAAGTTTCCTCCTTTACCAAAAAACCCCAAAGCAATCATTACTTCCCACACTTTATCTTAAAACAGAGATGGCAAACTTTTTCTGTAAAGGTCCAGACAGTAAGTATTTTAGGCTTTACAGGCCATATGGTCTGTCGCAACTACTCAACTCTGCTTGTGAAGCACAAGAGCATCCACAGACAGTAAATGAATGAATGTGGTTGTGTTCCAATAAAACTTTATTTATGAACACTATAAAAATTCTTCTAATTTTTGCATCTAAAAATTTTTTTTTCAAAATTTTTCAATCATTTAAAAATGTAAAAATCTTTCTTTAGGCTGCATTTGACCCATAGATTGTGTGGTCTGCTACCCTGTCTTAAAACTATGTCCTGATTACAACAGTGCAGCTAACTTGCCTTGTGTTTATTTTGTTAGGGATGGGTATCCTGTGAATTTTATTCATTTCATTTATGTTAAAATACCACCGTATAATTACCTTCAATTTATGAAAGAAGTTTCCACTGAGGCACAGTAATACCCCTTAAATTAAACAAAACTGAAGAACAAAGAACCCTGCCCTTTGCAACTCTGGTATTAATTCCAATCAAGGAGTGGCTGCCTGAAGCACTGTACTAAAAAGGATTTTGAGGATTTTTCTGAAAGGATTTTACCATTTAGAAGGGAGGAGAGCAACACCAATGTCACATCAATTTAGACAGAGTACATTTAGATAAAAGATAAGCTAATGGCCATTTTATTTATTTAAAAAGTATTCATACTAATTATTTTTTAAAGGTAAACAATATTTCTGAGTGATTTTCTAGATCCAGACTATCATTTCATTGATATGAAATATAGGTAGAGAGAAAATGTCTTATGGAAAAAACTATGACAATCTCTCCTCTACTCCTCAAGCTTATCTGTAATCAGTTTCTATGCTATCACACCTCTAACTAAACACTAAACATAAAGAGGTACTTATAAAATAAACCAAATTATATATATTTTTATATTCTTAAGCTCACATTGTAACTTTAAAGGTGTGGTTTTAAAAAGATGGCAAAATAATTTACATGTATTAGGTTTTAATGGCAGGTCCTACTTTCTGAAACTTCATCTCTCTCTCTCTCTCTCTCTCTCTCTCTTTTTTTTCTTTTTTTTTTTTTTTTTTTTTTTTTTTTTTGGTGGTGCTGGGGATTGAACCTAGGGTCTTGTACATGCGAGGCAAGCACTCTACCAAGTGAGCTAATATCCCCAGCCCCTGAAACTTCATGTTCCTATACAAAAATGTATTCTATCAAAAAAAAAAAAAACCTCCATATGCTTAATGTTGTCATTTTTAAAAGAAATAAACATACATGAAAAGTACGCAGAGTTAGTACAGTGATTCTTAAACAATGATGCACATCAGAATTCCCTTTGTATTTTCACACATTCACATATTAAAGTGCTATTTTCTTATGCCCTGGAAATGCAGTAGATGAAAAGTACATTTGGGGGATACACACACACACACACACACACACATACACACACATAGTATTCACTTTGAGTTCTTTTTTTCTAATGTTCATTCCAAGTTAAGAACCATTGGCTTAATAGGCTTTGGCCTGTACCTGCAGACTAGCTCACAAACTGCTGCCTTGAACATGCTAGCAAATCCCTCAATTCAATTTCCAAATTATTTTCCAGATCCATAATTCACACTCCATCTTATTACAGAAAATTTAGTCAGGTGGATCCAGCATCAGATTTAATTTAGATAATATTTATATATTAAAAATACTGGTTATACATTAAAGACTAGTACTAACTGTTGCATTCGTCCTACCATTAAAATATACATACATGTGAGCGTGTGTATGGGGTATGGGGGCAAGGGGGTCAATACACAGAATTTGATATCTGGTAGATTACTGGGCCATAAAATAACCTTGAAGAATTAATGTTCAGGGCTGGGGTAGTGGCTCAGTGGTAGAATGCTCACCTAACACACATGAGGTACTGGGTTTGATCCTCAGCACCACATAAAAATAAAATAAAGATATTGTATCCACTTAAAACTAAAAAATAAATATTTAAAAAAAGAATTAATGTTCAATCTAAAACGTTTTTCCTTTGCAAAAAAAAAAGAAAGAAAGAAAAAATTTCACCTAAAGCAACTGCATCTGAGGACAATTCAAGTTTTGTTTCTTAAAAACATAAAATATTAAAATACAGCTCATCAATTTTACACAATTTCTTCCAAACAACAGAAGTAAAGGCATTTATTCATTGATGGGGCCAGTATTACCTTGATACAAAAAAAAAAAAAAAAAAAACGCAGAAAGGAAAAAACACACACCAATATCTCTTATCAGCTTAGATGAATCAGTTCTCAACATAATTTTAATAAGTGGAATCTAACAACATATTTTTAAAAGTGAAAACTACATCACAACCAGGTTTAATCCAGGTATACAAGGTTGATTGATTCAGCATTCAAAAATCAGTCAATGCAATCTACCAAATCAACAGGCTAAAAGTGGAAAATCCCACGGTTTTATCAATTGATACAGAAAAAGCAACACCCATTAATGATTAATAAAAAACAAAACTTAGTCCCTAGGAATAGAGAGGAACTGCCTGAGTATCATAAAAGAATATTATACTAAAAAACCTACAGTTGACATCATACTTAATGGTGAAAGACCAAATGCTTAGGAAACAAAGTAGTAATAGCCACTCTTATCCCTCTTATTTAAAATGGTACTCAAAAGTTCTGGCTAATGCAATAAGGTAAGAAAAGGAAATTAAGGGGATACTGGCTGAGAAAGAAGAATAAAATTGTCTCTATTTTCAGATGATGTTACTATTTATATAGAAAATCACAAGATACCTTAAAAAATAATCTCCTATGATAAATGAGTTCAGTCAGGTCACAGGACACAAGATCAATAAACTAAAATCAACTGCATTTCAATATGCTGACAACAAAGTGGAAATTAAAAATGCAATACCAGTTACAATTTGAAGCTATAACCTAACAAACATATCATATATAAGATCCCTATGATGAAAATTATAAAATGCTGATGAACCAAAAACCTAAACAGTTGAAGAGACATACTATGTTCATGTCATGGAACTAAGACTAATAAAGATGTCAGTTCTCCCTAAACTTACATACAGTTTTAGTGCAATTCATACCAAAATTCAGAAAATTTCTTTGCATTAAACAAGCTTACTTTAAATTTTTTTGGAAAAGAAGACTAAAGTGGGAGAAATCACTCTCCACTTTCACAAT